ATTAATATCACAGATCTATAATCCAACAAAGTTAATTTCTGATGTAACAATTTGTAAAATTGTTCCTGTTGTTGGTTTGGTGCGTAGAGTTCCACTATAAGTATTTTCTTACCATATAAGCCAACTTCAATCATAACATATCTCCCTTGAAGATCAGATTCTACCAAGCAGGCTGATAAGTTTTGCTTAACATAAATAACTACGCCCCCTTTTTTTCCCAGGAGCAGAAGATACAAAGTGAGATCCCAAACGAGCATTGACTAAATATTTTTGATCTTTAGCTATAATATGTGTTTCCTGCAAACAAATAATATCATTATTATGTTGCTTTAAATAATGAAAGATTTTCTTTCTCTTCTGAGGGGAATTAAGGCCATTAGCATTCCAAGTCAGGAGCTTTACCATCTCCCTTAACCAGAAGCCTGGAGAAGACTGCTTGAAGATCTGCCATTGAAGAATGTGCTGCAGAACTCTTGGGTCTTGCTCCTCCCACCGGCAACAAGCACTTTCTTGAAGAGATTCTTTAACTTCTTTCCTCTGTTGTTCCTTTTCCTTGCGTCTATGCGCTGCACAGGTCATTCTTTGCTCTTTAATCTCTGCTTGTCGCGACCACTCTGACTGTAACTCTCCAACCACCATCACGCCTAATCCTTCAGACTGCTGTTCCACCTCTTTACCATCCAGAACTTTCTGCATCATAGATGATGGTGAGCCTGCTCCCAGGACCGAACTGTAAAACTCCTTTGCTTTAGTGACTGTATTAAGTCTATAACGCGTCCCCGCATGGCTCAGAACAATCCCCATCGGAATCTCCCATCTGAATGGCATCATTCTTTTTTTAAGTTCATTAGCTAAAAAAGCAAAATCTTTTCTCTTTCTTAGAATTTTAGATGGGATCTCCTTTAAAATAATGACATCTTGAGCAGCAATCTGAAACCTCTTGTTATAGAAAGCTTGTATAATTTCATTACGCAGAGATCTCTTTGCAAAATAAATCACCACATCTCTTAGTAAGTTTTTCTGTTTTGCGACCCAAGAGTTAACTCTGTATACTTTTTCCACTTCTCTAAGTATTCCTTCTTTCTCCCTCTTCAAAATGAGAGCAAAGTCATTCACCACAATCTCTGTCAAATCTTGATGCATATCCTCTTTCAGACCTCTGATTCTTAAAGCATATTCCATCTCCCTATACTGAGACATAACAATGTCATCTTGTGAAATTTCCATCTTTTTTTCCATGCCTTCAAACTTATCTTCCAAGATGTCAACCTTATCTTCAACCTCTTCGACCCTAGAGTCAAGCTTCTCAACCACAGAAGCAAGTCCTGATAGAGCCATAACTATATCTTGCCTCAAAATAGTATTATTCTGCTCTAACAGGTTCTTCATTTCCCCTCTAATTTCAGTTTTATTCTGATCTAGAAGCTCCTTCATTTCCCCTCTAATTTGAGTTACAGTATTTCCCATAATATCTTTCATATCTTGTACAGATATTACTGGCAGAGGAGGAGAAGATGGTGGTGTAGCTTTAGGTTGTTGTGCCGGTAAAATCGCAGGAGAAGAAGCCACCTTAGGAACTGTAGAGGCTGCTTGCCTCTTTGAAGCCATTTTTTAAAAAAGTTCTTATTTCCTCTTTCTTCCTTCTTAAAAAAACAATAAAAAAAATCCTCAAAGAATAAAAAACAAAGGAGAGTTTAAAAGATATTTCAAAAACACAAAACCACCTTCAGAAAAAGAAAAAAAGTTTAAAAAGAAAAAGATATATAATCCATAACGTTCCGTTTGACTCACTTTTTTTCCCCCGGAAAAAAACTTTCAAATCGCGATTTTACTTTCACTCTCCACACAAGCAAAAAACAAAAAAAAAAAAGATCAGTCTAAACTAAAAAGCAAATAAAACTCAATAAATCCAATCCTTTATCCAGCTCTGTCCGCTTTTTTAAAAAAAATCACTCACCCGGTCCCTTTAAGCGCGGAGATGGTAGCGGCGTTTCACTTTGTTCCCAAAGGAAACAAAGACAGCTGGGAGGCGGAGGCAACCCGAACTCCGAGGGAGCTCTCTTTCCACCCCCCAAAAAAAATCCCTGGGGGGTTTGAGATGCTCTACCTCTATTCGGGTGGTTCTCTTCCCCCTCCCTTCGCCCGGGAGGGAGATTTCGAGCCGCGGGACAACTGGTGACTGCTGTGCTCCGCGGTTCTCACGCTGTCCCAGGAGGACGGCTACAATGTAGCCGCCATCATCGACGCTAACCACCGGAAGTTTCCACTCTGAAGTAATGTTTGTTATTTGTGTCCAGATAGGTATAGGATTCACTGATTTAAGTTCCTGTTTAAAAAATTAGCTAAATGTATGACAGTCATTGAAGAGGCAGGTGAGAAGACATTGCAGTTTGAGCAGACTTTACTATTTTTTTCCCCTTTGGCCTCCAAATAATCTAAAACTGTGTAAATTTCAACAATCCTGAAAAGCATCTCCACTCATATGTAGTGTCATTTTATTAATGGGTTTCCTTGCAATGATTCCTTGCAATCATATGTTTAGAAGTTATAGAACAAAGGCCCCCAACCTATGGGCCCACTACCAGGCCATGGTCTCTTGCCCACTGGGCCACGTGATGGCTGGTCAGTATGTATGTATGTGTGTGTGCATGCTCAGTTCTCCTTGGGCTGGAGCTAGCCGAGCCATGAGCTGTGAGCCTTGCACTGGCATTAGTCAAGCTATGACCCTTGCACCAGCGCTAGCCGAGCCACAAGTCTCGCACCAGCGCTAGCAACCTCATTTACAGAGCGTGCATGCTCGCGGCCCCGTTCATGAGCACACACACACAGTCACATTAGCATGTGTGTGCATGCACACATAAAGATGCCTGCCCCTTCCTTTCCCACCGGGCCACCAACCCAGAAAGGTTGGAGACCCCTGTTGTACAACATCAAAAAACAGGCATGCATAACAGTGCAGCTTTGGTGCATTAGGCCGCTCTATGGGTTACTTTGCAGACTATTTGCTTCCTAATATCTCTTGTAGGACCTGAAAATCACAAACACTCATTGTTTTAATACTGTAATGGAAAGCAGCTGTTGAACTGTGCCTGTCTAAGATCATCATGTTCAAATTCTGTTCAAAGTACTTTAGAAAAAAGTTAATGCAGTTGTTCTCATGTTGTGCTGCTGTTGTTTTTTTTTAAAAAAAATCATCTAGCACTGTCATGGGGAACAGTTTCTCCAATTTACAGGTTTCTGGATCTACTTTCTGCACATGTTATTTCTAGTATTTCAATGAATTGGAATTGCAAGTCTTTTAAAATCAGTCTAACTATTGTAAAAGCCAACTCTTCTAGACCCAGTGCTGCTTAGCTAATAGATAGAATCAGAAGGCTCTCATGCCAACTCTAAGACTAAATGTTGTTGCCCCTTCATTGTGAATTTATACAATTATGTTTGACCATTTAGTGCACAACTGAAATTATTCTTTGAGGGCTAGCCTATTTTATTTATTTTGATAAGCCTGCTGTAGGCCAAAGAATGTTCAAGGTCCAGTGACATCAGTGTATTGATGGCATTCAGCTCCAATCAGACATAATACTTGAATTTGGAAAAATTGTGCATATTTTTAACCATTGCATGCATAAGGTGATATATAGGATCAGGGTAAAAAAACAGCATAAATAAATATGGGTTTGAACAGTTTTATTTTTAGGGTATTTAATGATTTCTCTGACTATTATTTCTGATTGTTTTGGTATTTTTTTAAAAAAACTTTATAAGCTGCCCAAGATCACAGCAGTGAGATGGGCAACCATATACATTTAATAAATAAATAAACCTTGATAAGCTATACACTTTATGAATTTGTTGCTGAGAACAGCAGTCTTACATACGTATCATTTTGATATTTTCTCATGCACTAAAACTTCCTACCACCACTTTGATCCCCTTTGGAAACTTCCAAAGCTAGTTCTATTCTGAATCATAATCCATGACGACAAAAGTAGACCCCCCCCATCATTTTGTAATGCTTTACCCAATCCAGGATAAAAAAAAGTTTATATTGATTTAAAATAGAACATTCAAAATGCTTGCTTAATTTTAACCAGACTCCAGATGTCTGACATATTGACCTTTAAAGCAATAACAGTTTTATATTATGGGGAGGATCACATTTTTATGTTGGTCATACAAAGGTCAGTGTGGTGGGGATAAACATTTTTATGCTTTGTATGTATCCCTATACTTATTTCAGCAAGTACTGTTTATGTATAAAAAAAAGAATAAATTCACAGAGAATTTACCAAAAAAAAAAAAAAAGGTAGTTCAGTCAGTAGAAATGGTTTGGTGGTACTGTATAAGACTTTATCATTCATATCAGTCACTTTTTAAGTGCCATCTCAAGTGCATATTCTTTCTTAGCTGGCTTCAAGGCATTCTGACAATCCAATCAATGAAACCAATATAACTGTAGTAGAATATGAAGGTGAGAAATATTTCTGAAATTCAGGCTCATATCTAAGACATTCATTCATTGGGGAACTTTAAAAAAATCACCAAGGATTGGATGCAGGAGATCTCTTAATTTCAATATTATACTTATCTACTGGGACCAAAATTATTGAATTCAAGGAGATCTGCAAGACCGTATTGCCGAATTAATAAAAAAAACAGATATGCTGATAAACATGTTTACAAACATGACTGAGTCTTATATTGAGGTCAGAATAGTAGCATCCTGCTTTCCATACAATCAGAGAATGAGAAGACTGAGACTAAACAGTTCAGGAGTGGGTAATTTAGAAGTAACCTGGAGAGATTTAGAATGCATGCTTGTGGATACCTAAAATTATTGAACCTTATTCCTTTAAAAAAAAATTAGACTTGGCTTAACTGCGTATTTGCATTTTAATTGCTTTTCCTTTTCTTCTCTTCTGTCTTTTAGTTAAATAAATCCCAATTGTTGATTTCTGGATTATTGTTCAGTTTCTTCCTCATACTTTCTTCCCTGTCAGGGCTAACCTGGTGTTTAACAGCCATTGAACATCTGGCCATCTCTATACTCCTCTACAGAAGCAGACCGACTTGAATGAAGAAACAGGATGAGAGTTACTACAGGTAGTCCTTGACTTAAAATGGTTTATTTAGTCACTGTTCAAAGTTACAGCAGCATTGAATAAAGTACTTATGACCATTTTTCATTACCTTTGCAGCATCCCCATGGGCATGTGATCAACATTCAATGCTTGGCAACTGGTTCATATTTATGACAGTTGCTGTATCCCGGGGTCCTGTGATCACCTTTTGTGATCGCCTGACAAGCAAAGTCAATGGGAAAGCCAGTTTCACTTAACAACTGGGTTACTAACTTAACAACTTCAGTGATTCATTTAACAATGGTGGCAAGAAATGGTGTAAAATGGGGCAAAATTCACTTAACAACAGAGATTTTGGGCTCAGTTGTGGTCATAAATCAAGGACTACCTGAACTGCTACACTCACTACCTCAGAACTATTATACAGCATGTGTACAGCATACCAGAAGGCAGTTATTCCCAATCAATTAGCCCTGTCTCAATCCAAATATTTGAACATCCCATAATAGTCTTGGTAAACTTTACTGCCTCAGAAATCATATACTTAGGTTATTGGTTTTCTACTTACCCAAATCATTTATCTCAAAGTAAAATTTCATTCCAGTTCCTATGTGGTGTACAAGTACCTGCTATGGTGTCTAAGCATATGGTGTCTAAGCTTTCTTTTATTTCCTCTTGGTGACAATTAGATTTTTAAAAAATACAATGAATTTTATGTCCTTTAAATATACAGGATTGCAAACATGTAATTATTTAAAGTAAATTATGCCATTACTTTGCAAAGCACGGCAACAAACCTTTGGCTCAGGTCTGAGGAACCTCTAACTCAACATCCAGAGGATGTTACAATAGTATCAGGCCAATCTGGGTCTGCTTTCCACCTATAGATGGGGCAAGAAAAATGCCCTCTGCCTGTTTGAAGTTCTCTGAACAAGAGATGATTTGACTGCCACATGCTTTGCCTCTCTTGTGCTGAAGGAACTAATGCCTGATAGAAGAATCAGGGATGTATGGCCACTTCAAACCTGTAATTCTCTCAGCCATAATTCAAAAAGGATGTGACATGAAAGACAATAAGACACCAATCTCCTTTCTAAGAAAGCCAATTAAAGAGTGGGATGTAAATTGAATATTTTAGAATCCAGACAATTAACAGCTGTCTACGTTTGTACCTCCCTGATGGAAATGAAAGCCTAGGCTAGGGCCATGCTGGCTCAGGAATTCTGGGAGTTGAAGTCCACGGGGCATAAAAGAGCCAAGGTTGCCTACCCCTGACTTAGGCCAGATGATTCTAGACTTCAAGACAAAAATGAGGATGATACTTCAATTACTGAATCTGGACATTTTTCTTCTTACAGAGATTGGCTTTTGAAAACAAGAAGGAAGACCATTGAAGGCATTGAAATATTAATATAGCTTTATATGTATTTTTCCAGATGTGGCATCTTGACATCACTTGTCAAAGTAGGTTTGCAGCTTAAAGAATTCAGTAGGAGACCTTTTCACATGATGTCGTTTTTAATGTTTTTCAACTGTGCTCTGCAGAAATAAAATATGTGCCAGCTCAACTGAAGTTTAGAGCTTGCTGAAATTTGTTGAATTTTGGAATGGTGCTAATGCTTTAATTTAGAATGAGAGCCAGGGGCATGTGAAGGGGCAATAAAAAAATCAAGATGGCAGTCACAACCCTGTATTTGATTGATTATGCACCATCAAGTCATTTCCCACTCCTAGCAACCACACAGATAGATTTTCTCCATGATTTATTCCTAACCTGTTCTTTCAGATCTCCCAACAGTCACTTAATGTCACTGTAACTGACAATGACTGTTGTGGTGGAATTAAAAGGGAAGGCTTTAATTGAAGGCATTTGGCTGCCATATTGATTTTGTCGTATCACTTCTCTGCAGATACCCATGAATGAGAACTGTGTTCTCTTCAAACATGATTTGGGAAAAAAGATTTGGAACTTGCAGCTCAACTTTTTTTTTTTTTTTTTTAGACTTTATGGCACCTTGAAAAAAAGTCCCTCTTTGTAAGACTGCATGAGCTTGAATAAGGAAGTTCTCTAAAGCATCCAAATTAATAATAGAGAAGTGCTGTGCTTAAGTATTTCTTCCCAATTATTTCTGACATGTGCCAAACCTTATTTATAACCATTGATTATATTGTTCTTATTTGAATGATTGTTCTATTATATTTTAATGTAATATTACCTCATTGGTTGTATTTCTATAAATTGTTTGCATTTATTTGCGTGACAGAAGACAAGGACTTATTTTAATAAATAAAATTAACCTGTAGAACTTTTATTGCATCACAGCTTGTGATGTGAACACTATAATTTTGTTCTTTAATTTGTGTGTATAGTATACACATGATATTTTGTTAGGCTACTCAGAACCTGTAATTATCATGGATACTTATGAACATTTATGAATTTAGAAGTATGAACTTCTATCTATAGGATGAATGTCTCCACTGTAAAATTTTCCATGGACATTGTTTATCTGGTTTTTGTGATAATGCAGAAATAGTTTTTGTATTCACAAACATATTTTGAAAACTTCACATGATTAGTCAACTCTTATTGAGACCCATTGTGAAAGTAAACCTTAACAGTTGTTTGTTTGCTAAATATTCCAGACAATTTATCCACACAAGGGCTTCTGAAGATAGAATCAGATCTCCCAAGGAGCAGAAATACAATGCAAAGAATTACAGCCAACAAATTGACTCAGAATTGGAGTATTTTCAGGATCAGCTTCTCCCAATGTTTCTGACTATTTGAAAGAACAAAGAGAAGAGGATCCCTCCAGATCCTTAGGAAATGACATCAGCAAGGGCCTTGGAGAGAGATCTTTTCACTGCTTGCACATCCCCCAGCCCCTTGGCACAGCAAGAACCATACAGTAAAATCTGTGATTTTTAGTTTTAGAAAGGTCATTAAATGGCTTTTTCAGCAGATACTATGACACAATAATATTGTGAAATGGTCCTTCTCATAATCTAGGAATTGGTTGAAATAGGAGAAAAGAAGATGCATTGCATATGTTCACAGCCTTGGGTTGTTTGTAAAAATAATAAAGGCAGGATACAAAAATAGTTATTTTACTGATCTTTGCTGTTAAATTTTGATTTATACCATTTTGTTACCAATTTGTGTATTTTCCCCCATTTATAAAAACAGAGTATAGGAATTGTTTATTCAGTAACAAATGCAATAACATATAAGGTCCATAAATAACAGATAAAAATAAATAGTAATTGTGGTACAGTGCTTAGCTTGCTTTCTTTTATTATCTGGTAGATAAATATCTATTGCTGATATTTGTGTGTGTGGGAGAGGGAGGGAAGGAGGGAGAGAGGGAGAGAGAGAGAGAGAGTGAGCGAGAGAGAGAGAGAGAGAATGAGAGAGAGAGAGAGAATAAGTACAGATCAGACTTTATGTGGCATTTTCTTTTTTCTGAGCAAATTGACAGTTTAAGTTTATGGTATGTGAAATTGTGAATAAGAGTTGTATTTTTCCAATCTGATACAGAATGACCAAATACTGTGCTAACTGAACTCTTGTTTTATCTTTTCTTCTATTGTTGTAGGAAATTAAATGTTGTTTTTCAATAAAGTTATAGCTTCCCTCCAGACAGCTCAAATTGGAACTGAAGTGCCTGAAAATCTGCTCAGGTTTCTGCTACGAAGTTAACTTTAGAACAGAAATGAAGTGTAAAATGAAATGTTAAAATACTGGAGATGTTTACACTATGAGTTATGATCTAAAAATCAGACCATAAAGATCATAAAGCCTTGCAGCATTTCAGAAATTGTTGTTTAGAAAGTTAAAATTATAATCTGTTGTGGAGGACAGAGATAAAAATGAATTTCAGTGTATTCCACTTTTAATCCTTAGCATTGTTGTTGCAACATCACTATAAGCAGCATTATTGATTGAACAGAAGTAGCATCAGTCAAGATGTGACAATTTTAACTTCTGTTTCTGGATCAGGCAGCTTCAGCCATATGAAGAGCTTTCGTTCTTCGATGGCTGCCTTTCTCTCTACCGGTAGACTCTTATGCAGGTCTTAAATCACCCTGGAGGGGCGACCACCATCGAGGAGGCTTTTGCTCGTCTAGGGTGGAGCGGCGACTCCCCCTACAGTCTGAGCTAACTCGGTAGGGCCGATGGAGAAGAAAATTGGTCAGTAAAATGGCCGATCACTTCGCTGTGCCAGCTGAAGTCAGAAAATAATCTAAGCATAAAGAACCACCATGGTGAATCCGGGTGAGACCTTTCCTCCCTCTCTCTGTCTTGAATTGTTTTTCCTTCTACTTTTTCTTTTTTGCCTGTAAGAGCCTTGTTGGAATTATTTCCCTGGCTTGGAAAAGCAGCTTCTACTTAACTGAGAATAAAGAGAAATTGACTTTGCCTGATAAGCAGTTTACCTATGGTTTTGAGGACCAGGAAAAGCAAAGACTGAGATTTGAAATATCAAAGAAACAAAATTTTATGGTTAAGAGAAACAGAGGGCCAATGCAAAGGCCAAGATGGTTTACATGGATTCAAATGATACTGCAAGCAATAAAGAGAGACTTATCAGTTGGAAGGGAAGCTCTGTTATGAAAACCTACCTGGCAGAAGAAGAAGCCCAGAATAAGACTGAAAAGAAGTGAAATTTAAAATTGTATGTAATGAATTAAAGGTAATTTAGAATTATGGACTGATTTAAGGACTAAGATTATGTAAGAGAAATGGGCGATTAATGGAAGATATGTATTAAATTGACTAAGAATGTACTTTTTGAATTGATGGGTTTATCGATATGAAAATTATTATTTTTAATAAGATGATTTGTTTGTTTGATGTCCAATGGATTGAAATGATTTAAGGTTTGATACTATCTTTTCAGCTTAAAAAGTAAGAAAAAAGGGGTGATTAATGGAATATATATATTAAATTGATTAAGAATGTGGTTTGGTTTTTTTTAGAATGATAGGTTTATTTGTAAGAAAATTATTATGTAATGTTGAGTTAACCTAATAAGATGATTTGCTTGTTGGATAACATGGATGTGATTAGTTATGAAAATTAACTGGATGAAATTTGAATTCTGTCAAATGGACTTAAATGACTTAAGGTTGGACTTTAGTTGTTAGTTTAAAGAGATTGATTGATGGATGGATTAGATACATATAGGATAGATGCATATTTTATTTTAAATAAGGGATATTAGTGGAAGAAGAAATAAATAAGATCTATGATAAAATTAAGGAATTAGAATATATTTGGAAGGGATACCCGAACTGATAATGTTTGTACTTAAAGTTATTTTGATTATGGTAGTGTAAATTTATAAAGCTTTAAAAACAGGTTTAGATTGAATAAATTTAAGCTAGAATTGGATTATTTTAAATAAAATATGGTATTTAAGGGAAAAAGAGATGGAATATTTGATGTATTGATTGAATTATGTATATATGTTTTGTTTGCGGATGTTTGACCACCCTAACACCGTGGTGTGTCTTGAGTACTTTGTTTTAAAAATCAAAAAACCAATAAAACTTGTCTTTTAAAAAAAAGATGTGACACCCTCTTAGTTGCCTTCTATTGGACACATAATTTCTGCTCACCAAATTGTTCCCTTTTTGATGCAGAATAGATTCTAGATAGATAGATGATAGACATATAGATGATAGAGACAGACAGACATAGAATCCTGTTATTAACGCTTCTACTATTTTATTGCTTGCTTATTCAGTTCTTCTTTTTGATTTTGCTAAAGTTTTGTCCCATTTTTGTCAGTTAATTTTTTTGATGTTTTGCTGAAGTTTAATAGCTAAAAATCAAGCTATTGTTTTTTGCTAGCTGAACTAAGCGGTGTTGTTTGCTTTGATTTGAATGTGTGAATGTGCAAATTGAATCAGAAATGACCCACAGAAACTTTTGAACACATTCCTAATGAATAAATGTTTTGACAAATGTGAAAGTGAAATAAATAATAATAGTATCATGTTTATAGGATGCTTTTTATTGAATTAATCCAGTAGAAATTGCATAGTATTCTATGTAAGAAGCAGGGATATTTTACTTCTAAAATATGAATGACTAGAGAGAAAACAGGAAAAATTGTGCGTAAATATATGTCCATTTAGTCCCAGAGAACAATCAATGTTATGTGCTCAGATATCTTTTTATCATCCAAGTTAATCCACAATTAACTTGGAAAGAGATGCTAAAAATGTAGTTTTCTTTGCTGCCTGACCTGTAACATACACATTCAATATTTGTGTCAAAATCAATTTCTCCATTAGTCACAATCAATGGATACTAGTGGGCAGAACTTCACTACCTGTTCTTACTAGATTAATTCCATACATTTATTACATAGATGGTATAATATGATGTAGAATAGTAAAGAGTCATAAAAATATCTGGACAGAAATATTTAGAGTTATTCTCAGCACAGTTCAAAGGCATAAAAGAAGACAGTGGGAACAATGGAAATACATGCAGGAATCAATACAACCTTTTTTGGGATTACATCATGGATTTTTCTACTTTTACCCAGATTTTACTACCGTACCTTTCTTTGTATTATCTGGAGGAAACTAAATTGCCTTAAGCTGTTATAGATTCTGCTGTTCAAATGTTTGTCTAACAGTTTGCTGAACCTGAAGAGTAAAGTCCAGCATCCTAAAGCTTTGCTTCTTGTCTATGGCTAGATAGGCAGGGAAGGGACATGGCTAAGGGGGCTTTGCTCAGATCAGGTGGTGTGCCATTGCAGTCTTTCCTGGAATATGACACCCTGGCAACAGTTATCCATACCCTCATCACCTGCCCATGAGCCTACCTTTGAAAAGTATGCAATTGGTACATAATGCACCAACTCATTTAAAGATGAGGAAACCTTGATATAACTCTAGTTGTGTGCTTGTGGCAGTGGTATTGATTTATTTCAATTTAGATTTTTAAGGCCAGCCATTCATTGACTGTTATTTATTTATTTATTTATTTATTTATTTATTTTCAGTGTTTATATGCCGCCCAATCCCAAAGGACTCAGGGCGGCGTACAAAGTTAAAACAATGATAAAACAATAAAATAAAGCAGTCATACTGCGAGTCCGATCATATCCCGGCCCCCCGGGGACATCAGCCCCAGGCCTGCCGGAACAGGAGGGTTTTAATGGCCTTCTTAAAGGCCGGCAGGGTGGGAGTAGTTTGAACCTCGGGGGGAAGTTGATTCCACCAGGTCGGAGCCACCACAGAAAAGGCCCTTCCCCGAGGGCCCGCCAGCCGACATTGTCTGGCCGACGGGACTTGAAGGAGGCCCAATCTATGGGACCTCACCGGTCTCTGGGAGCTGTGCGGCAGAATGCGGTCCTGTAAGTAACCTGGCCCTATGCCATGAAGGGCTTTAAAGGTGATAACCAACACCTTGAATTGCGTCCGGAGACCCACAGGAAGCCAGTGCAGCTTGCGGAGGATAGATGACACGTGGGCATACCTTGGCGCGCCCACAATCGCTCTCGCGGCTGCGTTCTGAACCAACTGCAGCCTCCGAACGCTCTTCAAGGGTAGCCCCCTGTAGAGCGTATTACAGTAATCCAGTCTTGAGGTGACAAGGGCATGAGTGACTGTGAGTAAAACCTCCCGGTCCAAATAAGGCCGCAACTGGTGCACTAGGCGAACCTGTGCAAAGGTCCCCCTGGCCACAGCCGATAGATGTTGTTCCAGATTTAGCTGCGAATCCAGGAGGACACCCAAGTTGCGTGCCTGCACTGAGGGAGGTAAATTTACCCCCCCCAGGAGTAAAGATGGACCATCCAGTTGGCCTTTGGGAGGCAAGACCCAGAGCCACTCGGTCTTGTCAGGGTTGAGTCTAAGCCTGTTCACCCCCATCCAGACCCTCACATCTTCCAGGCAACGGCACATCACGTCGACTGCTTCACTGAAAGGACACGGGGTGGAGATGTATAATTGGGTATCATCCGCGTACTTATTGCCAAGTACAAGTCAAAGAAGCCTTTGTGTTTATGTTCCCAATTAACATTATGTGACAGCATGTTGGCTGTCATGCAATGTATCCTACAGAACACCTTGTCTGCATAAGTTCAGATGAAGCCTCCTGTACAGTATTTCAGAGATCAGCCATGACAGTACACTACTGTGAATTTTGGATTTGTGTGGAGAAAATTTACATGTTTGCTTCTATGTAATGTATGTGTTGTAAACTGCCAGTATGATTAGGCAGTTAATACATTATTAAAGC